GGGGGGGGGGGGGGGGGGGGGGGGGGGGGGGGGGGGGGGGGGGGGGGGGAGGGTGTACATAATCGTGCATGCCGTAGTCGTGAGACCATTGACCTCGCATCGCCCTACATACAGTAGTACTGTTTCGTTCGGTGAGAGTCTGCTGGAGTTCTACCGACAATCAGTGCACCAAGGCAGTCAGTCGTATTTGGCGCTCCTTACAGTCCGTGCAACTACAATCTCACGGCGCCGAGCGCAAGCTATCCACCCTGCTCGCTGTGAGTGCACAAGCGTGCTTACTGGAGTGAGAGGGGGACGAGGGCAGCAGAGAAAATAGTGCCCAGTTGCTGAATGTGAAGAAAAGTAGGTTGTGCAGCAAGGGACGTGCAAGCACGGGGGCACAGACCCGCAAGAAACGACAGGATTGTGTTCCATGTCTGCGTCCCCCCGGCAACCAGTTGCCAGTTGCAGTCAACAAGGGTGGGTCCTACGTAATTTTTTGAAGAGTCGAACATCGAACATCGAACAAGCGGATAGTTCGATGTTCGACTTTTTTTTGGGTCCATTGAAATTTGCAAAAAAGCGTGAAAAAAAATCCCACACACACGTTTTTTTTGCTTTCAACAGCCCGCGGGGTTGTTGGACCACGCCCGGCAAACCCAAGGGCACTCGACTCTCGAAAAGATACGAGTGTCGAGGAACAGGGACGGCGCCAGGAGGAGGATCACCAGAAGCAGCCCCACCAGCAAAATCAGCACCACCGGGCGACAGTAGCTAGCGCTCAAAGCCGCGGGGTGGAACCCCGGCATCCCTTGCGGCCTGATGCCCACATGCATTGATTGCTTCGGAACCCTGCCGACTCACACCAACACTGCTGCTGCTGTTTGGCTGTCCATCAATGCTGTGTGGTTGCGACGGGAAGGGACCCCCGTGTGATTAACCTTACACCTGGCCCCGCTTGTGCACGCGGGGCCCTGGGATCCAGCGCAAACTCGTCGTCGCTCTGTGCAGACATGGGTATTGCTGTTGCTGTCCTGCAGACCCCTCTGTCGTTCTCCCTCTCCCCAGGATTGTGCTTTTTGGTGGTGTGTGTTGGGTGCACGTGCGTGATGCATGCGTGCGGGTTTTCGCGTTTGTCGCCAATTCGGTCCCAATAGTCCACGGGACTGTAGGTTAGGTATGGGTTTTCGAGTTTTTGTGGAAAGATGTTAGAGTTTAGGCGGAATCGCCCCTGGAAGATCCGGCGTACATTTTTTTTTTTTAATAATAGTTTTTTTTTTGAAAAAGTGTGGCCCGTTAGGGGTACGCTTTTTGTTTTGTTTCGCAAAAAAAAAGCTGTTTAGAGGGATCGTGTGTGGAGTATGCGAAGGTGTACCGATTCAGGTAAGAGTCAATCGACGGATACCCCGCGAATCGGGTCCTCCTTAACAAGTATGTGCGCACGAGAAAAAGAATAATTTTCATGCACAGGGGCGTGAAAATTTAGCCATGGCTGTCTGTCTGTCTGGTGTCTGTCTGGTGTCTGTCTGCGCGCCCTAAATACCCAGCAGACTCGAGCCCATTTCACCATCTCGGCACCAAATTGCAAACGAAAACTTGCGCACAACAAGTAACATTTTGCCCGAGCTGTCCCAACCGCTACCTTTGCAATCCGTGGTCGGTGTCACGAGACAGCACACCGTTTGTGCAAATATATATGTCACTTGGACGCATCCCCGATAGGCGTCGTCATTTTTGTTTTTCTCTGGGCAACAAACTACACGCACGCAAGAAACCACGACGCACTGCCGTGCTGCACACACTGCTGCTGCTACTGGCAAGACACGCACTACACAGAGACAGGGAACATGGACAAGGGGGGCGGGACACACACACATACTGCTGTTAGCGACGGCGGAGGAAGCGGGGAACGTTTGGTTGGTCTGGGGTTCATCGCTGATGATGATGTTGTTGTTATTGTTTCCGTTGATTGTTGTTGTTCAACGCTGCCCCCCTATTCGCCGTTTCTCTGGAGAGAGAGGGAGTCCCGCCAACCAGCGTGTGTTGCACACACCACACAGCGNAATTGCAGAACTGTCGATCGTAGGTTGTCATGCCGAGTGTTCTGCGAATACTCTTTGTGGTAGTTCGGTAGATTGTACACACGTAAGGATCGTACAACGGACCGTAGGTGTAAGTCGGTACGTTGGTATGTGGTACGTTGGACACTTGTCCAGTAGGAACGTTCTAGCATTGTCGCTGGAGGTCGGGCTTACGGGTCATTGTCGTGTTCGGTGCATTGCTTTGTGTTCCGAGTGTACATCTATCCGGAGGAGACGTTGGGAGCTGGGAGCATCACGCTCGCTCCCTGTCCTCACTCCACTTTCCGACCTGTCTCTCCATACCTAGGTCTCACTAATACAATATTCTTCTCCAG